TTTTAATTTATTAATTATCTAATTAAATTTATCCATTTGACACCAACATTAAAATTAGTGTTAGTTTTTTTTTTATTTTTCCATATGTATTTATGATAAAAAGGTACTCTTAATATATACCTTTAGGACATAAATTAAAAAAAACCTAATAATTTATTTTTAAATCAAGAATAAGTTTATTTTTGTCCTTTTCATTGTACTTTAATAAAACAACATAATTTTAAGATATTTTTTCTTTTATTTTTTTAAAATCCAACCCTATTCAACCAAAAATAAAAGTTATTTACGTGGTTCTCAAAACTACAGGTTTTTTCAGCATCAGTAAGACCACTGGAAGTTGATAAATTTTCATTAAATGTCAATAGCTAAATGTATCTGTATATACATGTTCAAAAAAACAAAAAAAATGTATCTGTATATACGGCGACGTTTATCTTTCTTTGATTTTTCTAATGGAAACACCGACTAAAATTTCTATTAGTGAACCTCTACAGTGAAGATTATTCGAGTTTTCATAAAATAAGAGGCAGTCTCAAATATAAGTTCACAATATTATAACAGGACTTCCAAGGATGGTATTATAAGGATAAAAGTGGCAAGAAGGGGCATCAGAGGCACATTGCTCACTGCCCGCTGTCCTTTTGGAAGTAGGTTGTTGACTCTACGAGGGAACTCAACACGAGACTCACTCATGCTGCAAAGAATGCTAAACCAATTTCTGAGTTTGCTGCAGCAGTTGTCATTCTTCTTGCAGCGTTGAATTCTATCTTTGGGAAGAAGGCACTGCTGAAAGATTCGGAAGTGCTACTGCTTTGGCTCCGCGGATTGGAGTCATGTGGCGCTATTGCGACTGTTGAGATTGAATTAGAGCCGGTTGCAAACATAGGAGCTAATATCTTGGCTGGAGTAGGTGGTGTGACACGTGCCAAGAGGTGGTGTGTAAGAAATAATTATGTTACATAGAATTGGAAACAATCCTCTAGCTTTGAAGTTTATTACTACATGATAGGAATGACATCCACCAGTTACAAACACAGCAGCCTTATTGCAAGCCAATATTTACACACACACAAATGATCAACATATAAGTGGTATGAATTACAGAAATTCACACAATTTCAGTATCTACTTTATAGAGCTAGAAAATATGTGGCAAGGTAGAAGCAAGAGAAGTAGCAAAATGGAGCTTTTAAGAAGAGCATCTCTCACCTTCCTTCCCCAATAATGTCACTGAATTCAGTGACATTTAATGGAGAAGGCACCAGCTCTTTCTTTGGATTAAGATTGTTCTTGTTCTTGTTTTCACTGTGCTCAGACCCAGTAGATGGTGAGTTTTCAGCCTCCAGGCTGGCTGTTATGTCCTTAGAATCCCAGTCAGTTAAATAACTTGGTTTTGATGCAACAGGGGGCTCACTTCAATATCCCCAGAAAGCATAGCTACAACCCTTGACATGGGTGGTCGCATCATTGGGGATGCCTGGGTGCACAGGAGTCCCACTCTTATCATTCTTAAAGCTTCATTTTCATCGAAAACTTCACTAGGGTTGGATCCACCAGACCTAGACTTTGGTTGCTTTCATAGAGAGTCCATGCCTAGAAATATTGCATAAATAAATCTCCCGCACAAGGAATGTGCCTAAAAAGAAGGAAAAAAAGAAAAGAATTCCTTTCTTTACCCATTCAAGAAGATAGATCTTGCCATTGTCCTGGCTATTGTCAGAGTTTGGTCTTCCACTGACAATTTCCAAAGCAACAACACCAAAGCTAAAGACATCTGCCTTCTCAGTGAGGTGGCCACGCATTGCATACTCTGGTGCCAAATAGCCGCTGCCAATATTGGAATTAAGCTATTAAGTTTGCATGTTGAAGGTTTATTGAGATGATTTCTCTATCTATGATACTAAGTCTCTGGATCCCATTGATGGTTTGATGCTATGAAACCTAATAACACATACAAGCTACAATATAATGCAAACAAGCAATTAGATACTCTTGATATGGTGATTCAAGAGGCTTACATGGTTCCTGCAACACGAGTGCTAATGTGAGTTTTCTTGTCATCATATTGCTTTGCCAATCCAAAGTCAGATATTTTCGGACAGAGCTCAGCTTCAAGCAAAATGTTGCTTGCCTTCACGTCTCTGTTTATGATCCTTGGCCTTGACTCCTCATGAAGATAAACTAGTGCCCTAGCAGTTGCCAGGCAGATACTGAAGTGGGTTGGCCAATCAAGATGCAAGTCTTTATTTCCTGCATATGTCAGACAGGAGATGTTGTGGAGAGTGATTAATTTGGTGAAGAAACGAATTAAGAGGCAGACATGTTTCATTTTCCCACAGAAAGGCTGAAAGGGAGCAAATAACTTGGGAATAGTATGCAAACAGTTTCATTCTTCCCAAAATAATTGGCATTGACAGCGGTGCGGCAGGATTGTGGCCGCTGCGCATAATATTTAACTTTTTTTTTTAATAAAATAATTGGCATTGACAGCGGGAGGGTAAAACTTTGCCAGAGTGGCGGAAGTCACTTGGTTTTATTGGTTAGGTTCGTGCATAATATTTAATTTAATGGATAAAAATGATTAATAATTTATTGTATTTTATTAATAAATTTAATTTCGGGTGTAATTAAATGACTAATAACTTATTTATCCTATTAATAAATTTGTGACCCACTGTGAGATAGTTTTTATTTAA